CAGGGGGGTTGGAGATTCATGATCCTTGAGGTCCCTTCCAACCCTGGCAATTCTGTGATTCTGTGAAAGCTGCTTTAGCAGGGAGTCAGACCTCCAGAGGTCCCTTCCAACCTCTATGATTCTATTTCCTGTTTCTTTAATTCCAAAGTGCAAGCCAAGTGAGATGGCTGGGTCACTCTTCATCATATATTTTATATACAGAAGAACACTTGAGGCTACTACTGGAACAAAATGACGTCTGGTAACACAAATTTGGAGTCAAGCAACTGACCATATTACAATAATGACCACTTTTGCCCCTTGCTAATACCAGGGCTGGTAAGCAGTACATCAATCCTTTGAACAGATTAAAGAAGCTCAAGGAATACTTGCTGTATATTAAAGTGGTTACTTCTTACTAACCACTAGCCTTGATGGCCCTTTCAGCTGCTAAGAATTGCCAAGGGTTAGGGCCTCGCTTTGTTTCTGATGTGAGCAGCTGGGATGGAGGCTGTGGAAGAACAGCAGCAGAAACTCTGTCCAAATCCTGGATGTCTCTTTTGTCCTGGGGCAATGACACAAACCATATGGAGACTCCTGCAGCAGCATCTAAAAATGGAGAAGATTATTAGGTCATTTAACACCTCTTCTAGCCAGGCGTGAGACCAAAGGTTTCTAAAATGAAATACTCAAACTCTCATTAAATGGAGTCACTACTCATTAAAAGAAACTAGGTTAATATTCTTATGAAAGGCATTCCTCATGCTACATAATTTCTCACTGCCTCACTTAAGGACATATCTGGAAATATTTTGCAACACGATTCAGCTGGCTTCTGCTGCCCGCTGATTTTTATTTGTCAGAGTATTCTGAAATCACTGCTATTTATAGTTCTGAAAATGAGCTATTGGCAGCAAACCAAAATTGTTTAGGCCCAAATTGTGACCTTCCGTTAAACTGCTATAATCTGATTTAAGTAAACAGAATCTCCCTCATTCTGTTACAGCAAGGAGAGGTGGATGGAGAACTGCCCATTTTCAACACACCCAGAGCTGCCTATCTGCCCTTCCATCCATCCTGGCTCTACAGCAAGGGCTCCCCTCCACCCCACAAAGCAAGCATCCTGTTAACCCTACCTCTCCCAGAACTGTGTTCCTCCCGCTCAGTGCAAGCAGAGAAGGCCAAGGACTCCTCTAGGCAGTGGGTGAGGAAATGTACTTATTTGTACTTGTCTGGAGATCTTAAGAAGTATGCAATTAAGTTGGCTCTGCTTGTGCCAGGGTGACACTGGATTTGGCCTGCAAGGTCCTGCAGGTCTCACTTCCATTTACAGCAATGTCACTCCTACCCCTGCAATAGTAGGAACGTAGCAGGACTTCATGGAGACGTAAGCTGGGACAAATATATTCCAGGTGCATGCTGCCTGCTACATGCATGTAACCAACTGCCAGAGTTGGAAAGCCTGAATGAAAGGAGCGAAAGAGCATTGATATTTGGCTGCAGAAGGATGTGTAACAAATGCAAAATGTGGCTTCAACATGGACTCATTCTTTCGGGTTATTTTGATGGAGACATTGCATGACAGCAGAGCGTCTCATGTGTGCAACATCAATACACTCATCACCACCGTTTACCAAATGATTCGTCACCGCGGAAGCCTCCCAGGGAACGTTAAGCCCATCTTCCTAAAACTCATTCCAGCATAATTGGTAGCTTTCACTTAATTATTTAATGGCATTTGCTCGTCTGCCTCGGACTCCCTGAGCCCAGCACCCTCCCATTGACAGCAATGAAGCTCCCAGCGCGCCCTGGGGCGGAAATATGCAGAGAAAGCGCTCTTCTCAGGGCTTCCCGTGCACAAAGTTGGCGTCAGGAAGATTACATTTTCCCTGCTCCATTCTAACCAATAGCAGCCGACCTCCGAACAGGGTCAGAAACACACCAAATTCATTTCCCATGGTTAAAAAAAAACGCGTTTAAGCCTCGCTTCATGCTACAAGCAGCTAAAGGCAATATTTATATGCAAATAAAAGAGTGACGATGTTTATACCACCGATTACGGCTAGCAAAACATAACACTTTTAAAGTAAACGAAAGCAAGGGAAGCCTGAGCCCGGCTGTCCCCCGCTCTCCCTCCCTCCCTCCCCCAGACCGCGCACCTGAGCCGCACACAGCCAACTCACCTCACAACGCGGCTCAGCCGGAGGATGCCCGCCCCGCACCACCCAGTCGCTCCCCCCCCCACCTCCCGCCGGACGGCCGCTCTGTGCCACGCGCGGTATTTATTTACTCCAGCCTTCCGCTCTCGCCGCGCGCCGCGAGGGGGCGCCATACGGAGCGGCGGCCCTCGAGGCCGTCGCGGTCGGCGCTGCCGTCGGCCGGTGCCTGGCGCGGGCGGCGCCGTCGCGGCACGGCGCTGCTGCCCCCTCCGCCGGGGAGGAGCGGGAGGCGACGGGCGGGGAGCGGGGCGGCGGGGGGGAGGGCAGCGTTTAAACGGAGGGCGGTGACACCGCACAAAAGATTGCGATAGGCTCCGGCGAGGTTACAGCGGAGGCAACGGGGAGGGGGGGAGCCTCCGTCAGAGCCGTGCAGCGTCTGGCTGGCAGCGCCGCCGCGGCCGCCTCTTCCCAATAGTTTGTCTGAGAGCCCGAGAAGGGAATTTAAAAGAACCTCTTTTCGTTTTATTTTTATTTTTCTTCCCCGGGAGTTGGCGATCGGCGGCGGAACATGGCAGGAGGAGCGCGGGGCCGGGCGGGATGCGGCATCCGCGGTTGGAGCGCGGAGCCCCCGCCCTTGTTTGCGGGAAGAGCCTAAGTTGGAGCGGCGGCGGCGCGGCGGGGGCCGGCCGGGGCGGGGCGGCGGCGCCGAGCGGGCCCAGGGCGGCGGGCATGAAGCGGCGGCGGGCGGCGGACGGCCGCGTGAATGACCGAGGCAGGAAGGAGTGAGGCAGCGGCAGAAGGAAGGGGAGCGGATCCCGCCCTCCCTCCCCCGGCGCCCGGATCCGGTGGCTCTTTTAATTTTTTATTTTTATTTTGCCTTTTGCGTGTTGTTTTTTTTTTTTTTTTTCCCCTCCCTTCTTCCTTTTTTTTTTTCTTTTTTCTTTTTTTTTTCCCAAACCCCCTCCCACGGTCCTTCTCTCTCTCTCTCTCTCTCTCCCCGCTCTCCCCTCCCGGCCCGGGCGGGCCACACCCTCCGCAGCGCTTCCTGCGAGTCGGCGGCGCGGGGCCGCGGCGGGCGCGCCGGGGGCGGCACATGGTGCGCAGCCGCCGCCCCTCCGGCCCCTGCGAGCTGCGCCCGGGCGGCGGGAGGGCGGCCCCCAGGGCTGCGGCCCCGCGGTAGCTCCGCTCCTCCGGGGTATTCCGTCTCCTAAAGGGAACTTTGCGCAGGATCCCGCGGCCGGAGGAAGGGAGGGAAGTGCAAAGACGAGGGGAAAAATATATATAAACGTATTGCTAAGCCGCACGATGCCGGAGCGCGGCCCGGGGGCTCCCGGTGAGCGCAGAGCCGCCGCTGGAGAGCCGTAGAGCGGAGCCTGGAGCCGGAGCGGTGCGGGAGCCCCGGCGGAGCTCGCCCCCCGCAGCACGGCAGCCCCGGCGCCCAGAGCCTTTTCTTGCCTCCCGGCGATTAATGGAATGATGTTGCGGAAAAGGCAGAGCGATCCTGCCGGGCTCAGTCGGGACTGCTCGGGCGGCGGCAGAGGCGGCGGCAGTGGGGTAGCGAGCGGCATGCGAGGCCCCCCCCGGCGCTATGGCTAGCGGCGGCTCTGGCAAGTCCAGCAGCGAGGTGTCCGGCGGCGGCATCCCCAGCGGCAGCTCCCTGCAGAGGAAGAAGCTCATCTCTATCTGCGACCACTGCAAGATCAAGATGCAACTGGTGGCCGATCTGCTTCTGCTGTCGAGCGAGACCAGGCCGGTGAACACTGAGAGCTTGTCTGTCTTCGGCGAGTCTTTCGAGAAGTGCAGGGACACGATTATTGCCAGGACCAAAGGACTTTCCATCTTGACCCACGACGTCCAGAGCCAGCTCAATATGGGACGCTTCGGGGAGGTGGGGGAAAGCCTGATGGAGATGGGGGAGCTGGTGGTCTCCCTGACCGAGTGCTCTGCCCACGCTGCCTATCTGGCTGCAGTGGAGACTCCGGGGGCCCAGCCTGCCATGCCCGGCTTGGTGGATCGCTACAAGGTGACGCGATGTCGGCACGAGGTGGAGCATGGCTGCGGGGTCTTGAAGACCACCCCTTTGGCAGATATGAGCCCTCAGCTCCTGCTGGAGGTTTCCCAGAACATGTCCAAGAACTTGAAATTCCTGACAGACGCCTGTGTGCTGGCCGGTGAGAAATCCAAGGATAAATTTGCTAAGGAGCAGTTCAAACTCAGTGTCAAATGTATGAGCACCAGCGCCTCCGCCCTCTTGGCGTGTGTCAAGGAGGTCAAGACTTCACCCAGCGAGCTGACCAGGAACCGCTGCGTCTTGTTCAGTGGACCTTTGGTGCAGTCTGTCTATGCTCTGGTGGGCTTTGCCACTGAGCCCCAGTTTTTGGGTAAAGCTGCCACCATCAATCCGGAGGGCAAAGCTGTGCAAACTGCTATCCTAGGAGGAGCCATGAGTGTGGTTTCTGCTTGTGTGCTCCTGACCCAATGCCTCAGGGATATAGCCCAACACCCCGAAAGTAGCACCAAAATGAGCGATTACAGGGAAAGGTTGAGGAACTCAGCTTGCGCCGTCTCGGATGGTTGCAACCTGTTATCTCAGGCACTAAGAGAAAGATCTTCACCCAGGACTTTACCGCCAGTGAACTCCAATTCTGTGAATTAACCCCCACACCTTCTGTTTAGATCTCAGTCGTTGCTAAAGGAAAATAATATCCCACCTCCTCACCCCTGTTTTGTATACCAAAGAATTTGCTTGGATGAGCCCAATCCTTTGATTTCATGTGGTGAAGAAGCAGAACAGCATATTCAAATTATACGTACTAACAAAGGTAGCCAGTCTGGGCTTCTTTTTATTTTGAGCAAGTACCTGCAGATAACTGTTCCTTTATTCAACCAGATCTTCACACAGATGGTAATAGCAACTGTTTAAAAGTTTTATATTTGGGGAGGTGGGGGTATCTGAACTAATAAGAAAAAAAAGAAAAAAAAAAAAGGAAAAGAAAATAGCTTTAATCGCGCTGGGTGCGGTTTTTAAAGTTTGTCTTGTCTTGTCTTCCGAAATTTCCCTTCTAAATTTTACTGTTTGGTTGTGCAGGAAAAAGGTTACCTCAGTTCTCATTCGTTTTAAAAATGAAAAGAAGAAAACACCACCACGTAGATGATGGATGTAGCTACTATTTTGTTTGTTTTTGTTTTGTATGACTTTTTTTTTTTTTTTTAATTTTGCATCAAGTGTTAGGTTAGAAGTGCATTTGGTGTGTAGGAGTGGAAGGACTGGAGGTTGTGATTATGTTTTCCATGTGTTGATTTCCAAACTGGGGGAAAAGCTACTGTGAGTGTTTAAACAAACAAACAAAAAAATTACACTATAACAGAAGTGATTTTTAATTTTTTTTTTTCCAATGTCAGTTTTTATCTTGCATGTACTGGAGTATTTATTTCATCTATTAAAATGTTATGTTTCTCAGATGTCTTTCTGTGAATCTCTTAATACTTGAATAATTGAACAACAAGGCCTGTTTGCATTCTGTGTCATTTTCCCCAGGGAATGGGTGGTACAAATGTAACTAGTGCTAGACAGCAGCATACAGGCTTCAATTCAGTTCTTTATTTTCCTAACTGCTGTCCGGCCTCCTCAGGACGGATGTCTGTGATAGAGATACTCTTTCATTGTATTTGTGGAGCTGTGTGCACTGGGATTACTCTATCTGCAGGGCCCTGGTGGTTGCTGTGCAGTGACATAGGCTGGCTTTGTCTTTATCAGCATTCTGTGTTATCTTGGAGACGCTTGTGTGTTTTAACTTCTGCAGATGTCGCAGGCCACGTGTGTGAAACTTGTGAGTTTTCATTAAGGACTTCTGGGGATGAAAAAGCCTACCTGCTGGATAGCCCTGCTTATGCAGTATAGGAATGTGAAGGTTTGAGTTGGGCACTGGTGGCTCAGAGGTTGGTGTTGGAGCTGTTCAGTGCAGGTTTCTGTCGAAAGTACATGGAATTTGATGCTGCAGATATTGTGAAAAGTTAGCTAATGCTCAGGCCTGGTCCAACTCCAGTTGGATTCCTTGGAATTGCGAGTGGACCTAAGGGAACACCACAGTAGTTAGTGTAACTGCAGTGACCTTTTCAGCCTGACAGTTGTGGGCTTGTGCTATCTGTTGACCTCTATATGTTCCCTGAAAAGTAAATACAAAAAGCAGGTCTTTGGGTGAGTAGGCCTCATCTGTCTGCCCAGCTCCATTGCATAACTGGATTTTTTTTACAGGTCTGCAAATTGAACAATGTTGAAATCTATTGGAAAATGTATCTTAAAACTGTTGTTAATGTGGTTTAAACCTTTACTGTGCAACTACTGTCCTGTTTGTTTCCTTAAAGAAGTAGGTCTTTGGCTATGGATATAGAACAGTCAGTGAAAGGTCTTTCCTTCATAGCATTTGTGTTTGTTTTGTCCTGCATGTGGTGCTTTTACTTAATTTCAAACATGAGTAAAATGTGTAGTGGACAAAAACCTCCTGTCAAAGGAGATACACCCTAAGATACATTCATATCTTCAGGGTCAGAAAAAACAATTTTCCTTCAGCACAGTGGACCCCAGTATTAGGTCTTGTTTATTTTGAAATGAAACTTCTTGACTTCAGTGAATCGCACTTATCTTTGCGGAGAATCCATCCAACCTATGTTCCCGTGGAGTGTGACTTTCACACCACGCTCTGTGCTGCAGTCTAACTCCATCACGGTGTGCTGCAGAGGCATGGATGCAGTATAGTGAGAAAGTTCTCTCATGTACATACGGATCTGTCTGTCCATGTATACATGTGCACGCACGTACAGACTGACACATACTGTTCTAACCTTGTCTTAGATAATCCTGTTTGCTGGAATATCCAGCCTAGGAGCCCTCCCCAGGTATTTCCTCAGAGACTCTCGCATGCATGCACGCGTGTTTTCCCATCTGGATGGCAGGCACAGCTGTGGGACTCCCAGGGGACTCAGAGGAAGCCAAGGCCATCTACAGGGAGGTCCTGCGCCTCCTAAGTGTTTGCGGCTGTCTGCTCAGCTATCCTTTGTATCTCTCTCCCTTCCAGCATGTCTGCGTGGAAGCCGAGATAGTGTCCCAGCCTGCCCTTCCTTTTTTTCTGCAGTTAGGCTGAGGGGAAGGAGGAAAAAGGGGCTGCAGCAAACATAATGCTTTCAGGATGTGCTATCTTGTGTGGCTGCTGAAGGGAGGTGAGGAACCGGCTCCACCCTTCCTTTGCATAGATCCTGGATGGGGCAGAAGTTCGTGTGGGACGTGTGGGGACGGTGCTAGAGGCCTGCAGGGCCCACAGTTGGGCAGGGCCTGCTCCACACACGTACCCTTCGTCCTGGTCTAGCCTGGTGCTTTCACGTTACTGTGCCCCAGCTTGGGGCTGCTTCCAGATATACCAGGAGATTCTGAAGGGCAGCTCTGCAACATGTCTGACAAGAAAGAACACACAAAACAAAACAACAAAATGTCCTACTGTTTCTTAATTGTGTTTCTGCTTAACCATTTTTGGCACCGCTGAACTAATTAGATTCTTTTTGATTCATTGTTACATTATTAATGAGGTTGAGTGGATCACAGCACAGCTTCTTTATTACCTCTGCCTATGAAAGGCAATATATTATTAATGATGTTAGTGCCAGTTTGTGTTGTTGTGATATTTTAAGTGGTTTAGTACAATTTCTGTTTGTAAGAAGGGTACTGTAAATCCTATCCTGCCCCACCCCAACTTCTGAGTGTATTTTGAAGTACATATGTATATAAATATGTATATAACTTCCTCATTTCTTTCCATAGTAGAACTCCCACTGATGAGAGAGGTAGCCATGCACTGCTCTGGCCTCAGCTCAAGGCAAAATCTGTGCTACACGTTTCTAACACAGCAAAGTTCAAAAAAGGGCTTTTGATATGAATGTGAACAACTGTTTTGATGTATTCTGAGTGAATGGTTAACAGGAAAAAAACTTTATAAAGAACTGATGTATATTGGAATAATTGCTTTGGAATGTATTTCTATAGAATATTAATTCTGATATGAGACGTCGTTTCAATAGGGATATTCATACTTCGTATTTTCTGGGACTGAAAAAAATACATGATGGAGTTATTGTCAGGGTCTGACAACTTGGCCTCGTACTTGAGGTCCTCATTGCCCAGATGCTTACACTGTTTAGGTAGGCAGGTAGTGTCACTATTTCAACATAGGATTAGACACGCAATGGATTCTAACCTAGAACCTTGAAGAAAAATATGTCAGGCTGCTTATATCACATACATCATAGATCTCTGCTAACAGTGTATTTAATAAAAGGGTTAATGTATTTCTAAACACATTATGCAATGCATGTTGGTAGCCAAAAATAACACTATCCCCACCAAAAGGGAATTAAGCTCATTTTTTAAATGTGAGAATTTTTTAACGGGGTAGCAGTTGCCGCTTTTGTATTGCTTGTGAATTTGATACTACCTTTTGGTTGCTTCTTCATCGTAATTAAGTTTTGTGTTGGTTTAATGCAGTAGCTGAATTGCAGAATTTGACATCATAGGGATGTGTTTTCTGATTCTAAAGTTAAAAGCTCTGTGAGACAACCAGTAAGCTAGCAGCAAAGTGCTATTGAAAAGCAAGTATGCTATTTAAGGGAACTTGCAAATGTAAATCCTTGTTATTTTTCAAAACTAAGAGGGGGGAAGGGGGGTAAGACCATGGGTCCATGGGTCAGATAATTCCCTTCACTTTTTACCACAGGAAATGATCAAAGTAGCAGAAAATCTGCTCTTTTTGGCCAAAGTTCTGTCAGAGACAGAAGGGGTCGAGCCAACACATGGTGTATGCAGCCTTGCAGCAAGAGGGGATGTGGCTGATGGGAAAGGAGGTGGAACCAGAGAAAATCTGTAGGGTAATACCTCCTATTAAACCCACAGGAATTTTCCTGTTCTAGATACAACAGAGGTTGATCCAATAAAGCAGATCTCAAACAATGGATCTTTTTTTTCCAGGCTGTTGGATGCTTGTGAATGAAGACATTGGGCTAGCAGTGTTTGAAATGCTGTGTCAAACAGCTGTATTGCTGTAGGGAACAGTGGGTCTCTAGGGCTGACGTGAGAAGTACAGGCAAAAGTGTATACCTGCCAGAACAGTTGGATGGTAAATTAAGGTGCTTTCTTGTTCTTTTTTTTAACTCTCTGCCTCCTTATCCCTCTCCCCAGCAGGCTCTTTGTGTAGACTTTACAGGGGAAGCAGATGGTAGAGAGCAGAACATTTTACTCCAATTCTTTGTTCTTGCTGCCCATGTAAGGTGCCAGATGGGCATTGACAAACATAGAGATTCTCTTCCTGGAGCCCAGGAGAGCTACAGGAAGAGCAAGAGCTCCAAGTCTGCCCTGTCTTCACAGGATCAGTACAACACATTTTTCTGGGGCCTGCTGGTGTCACTCGTAGGCTCTCTGCCAAGACGCTTAAAAAAAAATCTGAGTGGCAGCTTGAAAGTGGCATCCAGGCCAATAAAGTATTTTGTGCAATGCACCAAAACACCACCGGGCTTGGCTTGTTCACAAATTGGGCAAAAAATTTATAGGTTAGGTATGAAATGGAAGGCTAGTTCCTTCCTAGGAATAACTTGGAAAATTAAACGTGGAGAGGTGTTTATTTGCATGGAAATTATGAATTGTCAAGATTTTATATAAAGAGTGATTCAAAGGTATATTTAATTGACATAATTAATGGTATTATGAACCATTTTCTTAATGAAGAAGGATGTCTATGGACATGAAGAGTCTCCATGACTCAGTGAAGTCTGTGTAATTACTTTATTATAATATTTTCCACTATGCTAAAACAATAGGGGTCCTCCTGTATTGCAAAGTGAGGAATAATGTATTTTAATAAATCTGAATCTTTTCTTAGAACTGGTTTTATTATACTATGGTTGTTTGAACTGAAGGGTTCTGTTTGTTTGTTTTGTTTGTTCTTCTACACTGCACAGTATATGGCACTATATGCAGACAAAGTCAAAAGCTGCACTTCAAGATTAATGCAGAGATTCCTGGGGTCCTTTGTCAGCTTGCCAGACCCTTGTTCCTGTTCAGACTTAATTTTTTTTAATATATATATATAATTTCCTTTTATGTTAATAAAGGCTTCTTGTGGCTGTAAAAGTTGAAGTTGTCTTACTCTACAGACAGCCTGGTTCTTATGTAGATACTATTTAGATTATTTAGAAATCCTGCTGGCTGCCAGATGGAGCTCTTTTGGGTTTTATGTTAAATAGTTAGAAAGCTAAATAGCTTGATTTTTCTCTTCTCCCTCCCTTTCTCCTTCTTTTCCTCCCACAACAACAACAACAAAAAAATAAATACTTCAGAAGTAATAACTGGCAACTTGCTTAACGTTACTTTTAAAATCAAATTAGTTCAGGATGAAGTGACTGCAAATATGGGATATCTCCAAGAAGTTAGTTTTTGGAGGGTTTGACTTTTTTAGCAGTATTTTAAACCAGCAGTTTTTCTTTGAGTTTGTTTGAGCAGCAGGACTCTACTGAAGCCTAAGGACAAAGAATCCTGAAAAGCGCAGAACACTGCCCTGAATGCCGCAGTAGCGTTTCTTACAGGTTCTGAACTTCAGATGGAAACCCCAAGACAGTCTTAGACTACAGTCATGTTAGGATTTCTGGAAATAAGTTGAAGGGTGTGGTTCAGTGGTATGCTAGGCTGCTGTAAGCAGCTCGATGCCTGAATTTGTTCAGTCAGCCTTTGGATGAGCGTGAGTGACTGTGGTAGCTCCCGTGTCTCTCACCTCTATGCTCTGAACATTTCCATGAAGCAGTCAGGAGGAGAGGCTTGACATCGAGAGTCATCATTGCCACAGATTGCTTTGAGGCTTCCAGTGAATCGTACCTTTGGCACTGGGAGCCCTTAGGGATACCAGACTGGACTCATAATAGGGTGGTTTGGAGCTGCTTTTATTCCTCAGCCCTCTGGGACGCCTCGCTCTCCAGTCCATTCAGTCATTTGAGTTCACTGGGTCTCGAAGCACAGAACAACAGCACCAGGGTTGGTCTGGTTAGCCTTTGCATTTCAGAAGCTGTGTCACTTCCTTTGGTTGAAACTCAGGTGCACCACTAGGAGTGGTTCCTGACAACCGGTCCCTGTTGTGCACTGTGACCGATGCATGGAGGGACCTTATTTCACACCATCTATACAAGGTGCTCCTCCAGCTCTCGCAGAAAGTTCCTAGAAACGCTGGGGATCAACGCTCTGCTGATTATACTTCTGTTGTCATTCTGTTGTCATTAACTGCTGAACAGGGTCAAAACAATAATTTTAGCCTCCAGAGTTACGTTTTTAAAGTATGGAGTGAAAAACAATGTGATTTTCTGATCACTTTTTTTCAGTATGTGTTGGTTCTGTCTGGTTCACATTAAATATAGGAAGTCTCTTGAGTTGGTAGGCATGCTGCTCAGGTGCGCTTTGGCCCCTGTTTGCATTCTAAATGGGTGCCCTATAGAATAAAGTAAAGAAAAGCCAGGGAGGTCTGTATGTGCAGTGTGACAAATTATAGGCCCTCTGGCACTTCTGAATTGCCACATAGTTAATACGATGGTCTTATTTAAATGTTTCAAATTTAATCTGTGTTTAAAAATTTACTCTCTGTTTAAAAATTTACTATGGAATCAATCTGTTCTGGCAATGTTAGATCCATAATTCAAAAACTTTTCCCCCTTTTATTACCTTAAGGTAGCCATTAGTCTGAAACTTTTCAATCTCTGAGTCTGGCTTAAAAAATAAAAAGGAAATTGAACCTTATATTTCAGTTTAGATCTTTTCGAAAGCTTTAAAGTTAATGGGTTGACCTATTTTTGAATTACAGAACATGGAAAAATAGTGGGTGTATTCTTTTTCATGTTGAAGTAAGCTATTGTTTCTCGTCTCATAATTAAAAGCTTGCTTTTTAAAAAGCTGAGATTGGACCTCAGCACTGCGAGAATCTATGAGCAAATGTAGCTGCTTAAAATGTTCTTAGTACTGAGTTTAAGCAGTAATTCATTCAGAATCTGTAATCTCGTCTTGTCCTGTGACTGTCATATTAGAGAAGTTTGCCTCAACAGCCTGTAAGTGGAGTTGGTAGCACTGGAGCAGGCTGATGAGCAGCTGAAGTGAGTGGTACAAACTGCAGAGAGACATCAGTACTATCTTTGAAACTTCAGAGATAGTGCTGCTGGGTAAGGCACTGCAGGCTGCAGTGCTCGTGAAGAGTTGCAGTGAAATGCAAGTCTGAAAAACGTCATGAGAGAAAGAGAGTTGTCTCAAAGTGAGGGCTGTACCTCGTGCTTAAAAAAGAGGGGAAAAGTCCAACTTAAAATATTTGGTCGGAACTGTAAGGGTATTTAAAGGCTGAACTCCCAGTGAATGTAACCAGACCTCTAGATCTGGATGTTTTGTGGACCTGGTCGTTTGTGATGAAGCGTGACTGCATACCTTTTTAAAATTAATCATAGAATGTTTTGGTAGAGTTACGCTCTCTAAAGTTGGAAGTTTTCAGTTGAAGTAGGACAGTGTGCTGTAATTCTGTTCCTACCATCCTGACCTCCCAGTGGGGGTTACCAGCTCTTGTGATCCCTGCACACGCCCTAGCTGGCAGGCAGCCAGGGGCCAGCTCTACCTCATTTGCTCTTATGGTTGCCAGATGCCAGCATCTTGCATCTTTCCTTCCCATCAGAATCACAGATTTCACCTCCCTCCCTCCGCCCTCTGCTCCTGGTACAACACCCAGATGTGGAACAGAGATCCCTTTGTACTGTGTGCATGCTATCCTCATACAGGCCGCGTACTTAAAGATAGTTCATGCCAATTGAGGTTCAGCTCGCATTACAAATATACCTGCTCTTGCTGTTTCTATATGCAACTTCCAGCCACCTCAATACCACATCCATCCTTTCAAAATACATCTTGAAGAGCTGTCTGTAATCCATATTCCTGGGAACTGTGTTTCGCACGCAGTTTGTCAGAGAGCTTTAACGCTATTCAGAAGGAAGGGAATTCTGACCTCAGGTATTTATGGGGTGTTCTTTAGTAGGGATGGTGCTGAGTTAGCTGGATACTGTGAGACATAGGTTAGTGGCTAGCAAAGTTCTTGCAGCTCAACAGAACAGCACCTAGGCTTCGTGTGGCGTTTCCTGGCTCTCTTTGAATTAACCCTGCTGTTCTGCTAATGATGTGCATTCAGTTAATCAGCAACGTGAGTACAGTGAGAGAGAGACAGCATCTGGATTTGCACTGCGCTGTAAAGTCTATTTATTGCTGAATCTTTTATGAGTGGGCCTTGAGCCTCCTTTTAAAATTTTGCACGTTAATGGTGAACTTTACCTCATGCTTAGCTTGTATTACTACAGATTTTTAATTTTCATTTTGATTCTAATTTGCCTTAATTTTTTCTCCAACTGAAAAACAAACAAACAAAACCCTGCTTCGTGGATTTGTCCGATTCTCTTCCTATCTGCCTTGTATGGACAGTTTCAATATAATATAACAGAATGAAAATCACTTCCTTAGAAAAACAATTTTCATCCTAAATTTCAAAATCACATTCTGAAACGTGTGAGCTTTTCGTTTGGTCTGTGGCTAGAAACAGACTTGTTCATTTGGATAGACCAGAGAAAAAGTCATACTAGACTAAAGCTTTTTTGTCGTGGTATATAAGGTAAAATGGCAAATGCTTTTTGGTTCTCTTGCATGATGGCTTGTACTGTACTACATAAAAATCCCTGTTTCCTTCAATATTGCTATTTTGGAAACTTGAGCATTCCTTTGATTACAGGCTCAGCACTTTGCAGTCTCTTGCCTTTAAAAAATCGTTGAATGATTCTGTTTGCATTACATCCTATATTAAGTTTAGTTTTGTTTAAGACAAGAAAGCTCTAATCAGAATTGTGTGTCAATTCTTTATGAGGTCCCTCGCATTTGGCAAAGGAACTGCTTTAATTACATCTTGTTTTCTGTACTGTGTCACTGTAAAGGAGAGAACGCGTTGCACATGTAAGGGGGTGAAATAATTCACTCACCTCTTTGAAGCTTTTGCTGTTGTTTTCCCTTTTCCTTTGAAAATACTGGTGGGTTGGAGAGGACTTTTCCTGGGATGAGAAATGCACTTTGCACATGTAGAATGGTGCTCAGAAGTTGAAGTAAAACAGACTTTAAAAGTTATTAATTCTAGCTGATAGAAACATGATAAAAAATCATAGTGACTACTTCATAGCTTTTCCCAGAACAATTGCATTAGCCACAATTCTACTTGTTTGGTTTTTGTTTTTGTTACATTAATTTGATTTTACTGTTAGATATTTTTTCTCTTATAGATGATTTTATAAGATAGAGTAGTTTTACGTACAGAATATGCAGTTGCTGCTTGGGATCCTTCTTAGGGCTGTGATCTGTGAGGTGCTGTGTGTTCTTCTCTGCGAAGTTACACTTTGTGGAAGTGAATCCCTGAAATCCTGGGAAAATCAGTCCTGGCCAGGGAATAAAGCGTAAATAAGGTTTAGAGCACATCTACAGGAAAATTCTTTAAGTTGGACAACTCTCAAGAGCTGTCTGAGCTGTTCCCCCTCCCTCCTCTGTTTTGTTTAAGAAGTGGACTGGAAAACAATCAATATCTCTTTTGCTCATTAGATGCTGTGTAGTTAACTTATTACACTTTGAAATACCTTTTTTTTGCACTGACAGTCAATTTGCATTGACATCCTACAGTTTTATTTTAGCAAACCCCTCAGCTTGTTTGTGTGCTTCAGTTGTATCGGCTGCATATGAATTCTGCCTCAGAACTAAAGAATCCCAGCTAATGACTGAGTGAAATGATACTGAGTTCATTTCTAAGCAGAAAAGCCAAAGCTTTGCGTAAGTTGGTTTGATGACAAATTCAACCTAGTAATTTTAAAGGCTCATTGTATTTGTAGTAGCGTGTCTGAGGATTCTTGCAAGCCCCAAGCACACAGTTTTTAAACTGTTTATCACTATTCTAGAGATCATGGAGTTGTCTCCTCCAGACCAGGTTATTAGGGAATTAAAGCTTAGAGTGTACTTAGGAGGAAAGATGCTGATCAGATCTAGTTTGCAGGGCGAGTTTTTCTTCTGCCTGCAGATAGGAAACTGGGATGTACAGGTTTAGCATGTTGCACTCAAGGTTTATTGTAATGTTACTTCAGAACCGCTGTACTTCTGATTGTGATGTCTGAGATTTCTCAAAGAAATCCACATTATATTTTTATAAGTTACCATTTAAATTTATTTTTGTGGGTGATCTCACCTCTAGTGCTTGCTTTTTTTTTTTTTTTTTTTTTTTTTTTTTTTTTTTTTTTTTACATTTTCTAAATGCAAGTGCCCTGTATGACTCACCCACTGATCGTGGTAGCAAATCAGCACGGTTTGATTTTGTACTATGATTCTCTTCACTGGATAAATATTTCATCTCCAGCCCCCCTGTGTTACTGTTAGTCTTAATGGATGAACTGTGAAAACAATGAACTTTGCTATGATCCCAATGCACGGTGCAGCCAATAGGGATTTTCTCAGGCAGATAAGGACATACCAGTTGTGGTAGATGCAGAGGATTAGGTATGCAGGTATAAATACATGCAAAGGAGACTCCTTCTGAAGACTGTGGCTTGACTTCTCTACAAAACAGTATTTCTTGCCATCAAAGAGCAGCAGGTGCTGTTGGGAAGACAGTTAATCACAAAGCAGGGGCACTGGGTAGGCAGCAGGTCTACCAAATTACATAGCAAAAGACTAAAATACTTAAATAGTAACTACTCATTAAATTACAGAATTAGCAGCCAATTAAGAACTGCTTAGAGGCAGGAACCTACACTGGGGTATATTTGAGGGTAAGATTAACCCTTTTCATCAAGCCTTGTCAGGGATTCTGGATCTCTGCATGTTAAGACTAGGGAGTCCTGAGAAATTTGGTCAAAAAGTATGTGTCACTTCTCAATAATGGAGAAGGCCTTTCTAGACTTAGCTTGGATTTAGCTGATGCATAGGGAGATGCAGCTCTCAGGCCATAAGGGGATTTGCAGAGCACTGTACTGTGAGTCTCAGTACCTGTTAAGGGCACTCAGGCCATGCCTAGCTCACACAGCAAACCTATTTTCTTCAGCAGAATGAAAGCTTTCTTTTTTTACCCATAGGCTCTTACATATCATCACCTTTCCATATGTAAAAGGCTGTGGCTGTTCTAAAAGCAGAGATAAAAATAATGCACTTCTTTCCCATGCTGCCTTGGTTCTGAGCATGGTGCTGTGTAATGCTGTCTACTTTGCTTTTATCTTGCATCATCAGACTAGAAGCCATTCCTCACCTCTGTTATTTCTATTTCTCCTACAGTGCTTCCAAAAATCTCTCGTACTGACTTACAAGACCAGCTGGAACTGCAGCATCACTCCATTTTAAGCTCTGAATTGTGTTAGCCATTACATTGGTTCCACATGCTGCTTGGGTGGAGACATCAGCTGAAATTCCCAGCACAGTCAGTCAGGCCAGGAATTGCTGTGCTGCGTAAGCGATGGTGACTTTCTAATTCTTGATTACATTATGCTAGAAAAGAGGATTGTTCCCAGAGCAATTTACCAAGAGGGGAAAAATGGAAATAGAGTTCAAGGATGACCTTCCACCTCAGTGATCTATTTGGCTGGCGTCTGCTATTGCTCAGCTCCTCTGTCATGGGTTTCGCAGTAGTCCAGTGCTTTGTCATCGCTACTAAGTGGAAAACTCCTGAGCTCACTAAACAGTTTGTGTGAGGGGCTTGGGTAATGGGATGGATTTGGGAATGCAGCTGTAGAATGAAGTATTCTTGAAGGTTACCTGAAAGAAACCTTGACCAGACATTGAGTGTGTTGAGTCTAAAACCTCATTCAACATAAAGCGCTATTTCTAAGCCTGAGATCCTGAGATAGATGGAGAAGAGGAGGGAGGAAAAAGGGAATTACTTTGCAGCAATCCAGCATGGGAGCAGGAAAAGTGTTGTTGAGATCGTCTCCAAGAGAGGCAGTGCTGTAATCCTGTTTCGTTTTCGTACACAGAACTTGAAAAGATTTTTCCTAGAAATGTGTAATGGGACTGTCAGAAAACAGACCACTCCCCTTCCCAGTAGTTTCCTGCTGAAGTCATTTAAGGCCTCTCACAGCTTTCATCTGTGTAGGCACTGAGAACTTGTGAGCCAAGTTTTTTCCTTTTTTTTTTTTCTTAATGGAATACAAGCAAAAATGAAGAAGTGTTAAAAAAAAAAACAAACAAACACATTAGGGAAGAAAACTGCAAGTAAAGCTGGCTCACCACTTAATCAGTTTCTCATTTCCGTTCTGTTTCTGTCAGTCCCAGTGAAGTGGATCTAGGTGTTTTTCTTGTTTTAGGTATTGCTGAATGTGAACTGCCCAAAGGGGCGGGGAGAGAAGTTGTTCCTTACTTCACTTCTGGGACTGTCTGTTCAGGGCTTTACTCAGGAGGTGACTTGGAAAGGCTCACGAATTCCAGTTACTGTGCACTCAGACCTGATGATCACAGTAGACTGAACATATAAAATCTGCTCTGCAGGCAACAGCCCTAGCTCAGTAGCTGTTTAAAAAAGAAAAATTCCCTTTGTAGAGCTGGCAGATAGCCTGCATTCACAGATACGGGAATTTTTGTTGGTATATATGCCATGTTTAACACAAATGATGAAGGCGATGTGCTTCTAAAAGAAGCCATTACTGTCCTGAATAAATGGATGCTACTCAGCATGCATTTTGCTGTTGGATGGAATTCAAGCCTCCCATTCTGAAATGGATAGCTTTTTTGGATTGCACTCACTTGTCTCTCAGACAAATCTGTGGAGTAGATTTGTTCCTCAGATGAATGATGCACAACTCATCTGGTTTCTTTCAAACCAAACTGCCTGGCAAAGGAATGATAAATGTTTTTTTTCTCTTTCTCCTTCTGTCTACAAGATCATGCTGCACTTTAAAAGACAAACTTAATTTTCAAGGCAGACGAACTACTACATTCAGAGGTGTTACATGTTTGTAATGGTGGAGCAGAGCTGTAGGCACCTCATCAGACTGACATATGCTGTGGTAATACTGAGCCTTAGTCACGTTCCACAGATCAGCCCTTCTGTAGGGCTTCAATTGGAAGTTGTCCTTGAAGCCTCAGAGAAGTCATCTCGATAAGGAATGAATTTTCCTATTTTCTTTTGCCATTATTCTTTGGGGATTGTGATGTATATCACATACAGGTCTCTCAGCCTTGAAGCATAAAGAGCTTCATGAAGTTAGCAGGTGATTATGAATTACGTATGCATTTCAGAAAAGCAAATGCTGGTCTTTAAGTAGACCTTCAGCATGCTTGAATGCAATCCACTGTATTTACATCACATTTAAAGTGCACATTTGCATTTGCTATGAAACTGTGCATACCTGTGTGTCATTTTGTGCAGTTTCCTTGATCTGGTGGATAAGGAAGCTTGGTGAGATGAGTACGTCCTAGAAAAAACTTCACAACTGCTTTGAATTAAATTTCCTATTAGACCCCTGGAGCAAACTTCAGGCTGATGAGCAAACTGACGTACTCAGAGAATATTCAACTTTGCTCCGAGCATCTAATCCTTATGCTGCAATGCCAGCAGGCTCTGGGCATTACTTGGCCCCATCACCTCCCTGTGTTTCAGCTGCCTTTGTGCTGAAGCGATATGTTTGAGGCTAGGCAGCTAAGGTGTCCTGCAGCCTTTCAGACAGAGCCAGATGTGATGTGATGTGAGGAGACACAGCACTAATTAACAATCTGTCTGCATTGGCAACCTGGGCAGGAGAAGTTGGGTCCTGTCATAAAACGTGCTTCTGGGAGTGATCATCTCACGTATAGTTTAACTGTGCATCCAGTAGTAGAGCTATGTGCCTGTTTGTGTTGAAAGATTAGCCAGCCTTTAAGGCTTTAGGATCCAGAACCCTGCCTGTTTGCTAAGGTATTTTCATTGTCTGGTTATTGGCATGCATCTTGTTGCTGGACTGCAGTATGGACAAAAGTTCTTGTCATACTGAAAACAAGATTTGAACTGCATCCAAGGAGCGTGGAGTCAGTGCAGCTGTGTGATGGGGAGTAGCTGGAACATGCTTTCAAAGACTTGAAACTATTAAGGACATATTCAAGGAAATGACATCTGAAATGCTTTTATTTCTGGTAGTAACTGATGATTTTCTCCAAGTACCGCTTTGATTACTAATATAACCTCTTGTATCAAGATTCTAAGACTAGCAGGCCCTAATTTCATGAGTTACAGATGGTAATTAGAGATACTCCATCTGCTTTATTGTGATATGTACATACACCAGTATATGTTAATAATAGGCAGCTTCTCATTCTGAATGCATTCTGCTAAACTCTTTGTGCTGTTTGGCCCGTTATGTTAAGGATGGCACAAGTGACTGGCAGTGACGTAATGACCTGTCACCACACAGCCTTAATGCAGAAGCATTTTGATATAGAATCCCTTTCTACATATGTCAGTCTCTTTAAGACTCAGCAGCACCCAGTAGCTGGTTGAGTGTTCAAGGCATGCAACATACAGAGGTGGCAAAAACTTATGGAAGCAGCATAAGCCTTCCTTCCGAACAACAAAAGAGGGTTGCTGGCAGAAGGTGATAACAGTGTTAGTGGCTGTTTAAATTAGGGAAGGATTGGATGTATTCAGTGAGGGGGATATTGTTTGTTTAGGTTTTCCCTCCTGGGAGTAGTTTAGTATTTCAGGCACGTTTGGGAACTCTTTTTTTTTTCCCCAGTGGGCTAAGATGTGAGCTGGACAGCCTGTATGAACTTAACAGAATAAGCCTTAACAATGCTTCAAGAGCAAGGAGTTTCATATCCTATAATGCCAGTTTTATTTCTGGATGCCTGTATAGACTCGCTATGTGTTCACTGAGTTTTCTTTCAGCTTAAAATACACAAGAAGATGTCTGTTTCAGCCTGTTGGGGCTGACAAAATACTAAAAATAGACAAAACCATAGAATAAAATGCAGCTGAAGCCAGTTCTGTGCGGGGAGTCCCTCTGTATGCTATATCCAAGGGAACAGCTGGAATTTGCTACTGACAGTGCTCCTATAAGTCTGGGTTTTTTTTTCTGTCTGACTGTATGCTTAGTGTGTGTGTGCCCTGTCCAGCAAAATGGAGAGCTGAGGCTTTTCTCTTTTTCATTCTCTGTCTGCAGAAAGGTTATTTACAGCAGCATTGTCTGAGTCATTTTGTCACTAGCTAGTTCAAAAGCACAGGCTCTGTGTAAAACTTGCTCCAAGAACAGCACCCGCAAAGGGACTTACTTACATAAATCAGCATTCAGAGGTCGTGAAACATGAAAACACATTGCTCTGAAAGAAAAGACTAAGATCCTCAAAATAATTGGCAAGGGCAATGGAAATTATTGAAAGAATGAATGGGAGCAGCTACAATTGTTGCCAAAATCATTATGGTCATCAAGCTGAAGAATGAGCCTGGCAGCAGCCATACAGCCAGATGGCCAAACAACACAACTGATCAGTAATCCATCCATTTGTGTGATTGGAACCCACCCACCAGCTCAGGTGGGGACTAGAGAGGGGCTTCTGAAATGAGAGTCACTAAACTCCTGCAGGTCTCAAAAAGAACCATCCATGGATGAGGCCACAGGTTTGATAGAACCCTGTGCACAAATGTTGCATCATGATGTTAAAACAGATTGGTTTTGAACGCTGCAGATCCCGTACTTCACATGGCTGGGCTGAGATGCTGTCAGTATGGCCATGTGCGTGTCAGCAATTAAGGAGCCTCTGAGAATTTATGTACAGACTCATGTAGCTCACCTTGCAACATAACTTTTCCCAGCAGAGTATGAATGCTGTAATACAGAAGGGAGCCTTGCTCTACATATGCTAAGTACTCTTCTCTCTCAAGTGGCCTGAAAAACATAACTAGAATAAACTAAGTGGAATAGGGTGTATCCTTGTCTCTAGCTTGGATTTTCCCATAATATTGTTATCCTCTTCATAACACATAAGTCCTCTTCAAGAGGCAACTTTCTCCATAGAACATGAGCTTAGTTTTTTAGACCAAACTATTTAACATCTAGCTCATCTAACAAGGTAGAACCCATAAACACTGACATTCACAGCAAACCCTACCATCTTTATTTGTAGCCTTCTCTTTAATGCTAGTATCTCCTTATTATCTCTCTTTCTCACTGACAAACATCCTGATAACCAACGGCAAGGACTTGATGTAGTAAAAATAAACACTGGAATAGCTGAAACTGTCCTGGATGTCCTTTAGTAAGACGTCAGCACTATGAAGTGAGGTATGCGTCAGCAGTATTAGCAAAATAAATGTGCCAGGGACTGGTTCTCCTTTCCTCTTATGTTTAAGTAAACCTTTAAAAGACAAACAAAGCTCCCCTTCAGAATGGAACTGAAATGCAATACAGAATGATTCACACCAAATAAATAAATGCTTTTCAGTTGCAATCATTCCCTATTGAGTTGAAGTGGTATAATGCTGTTTCAATCTCATCACTTCCAAAAAGCATGCACAAACAAAAGAGGTGATTTTAACACTAGGAGGGGGAACGGCAGCTCACACGGAGCATCCAGACAAAGGATCAGGAATAATTTTATGATGACAGAGCTGAAATCTATGCCAGTTCACAATTTCCTCTACAATTAATTTCATTTCTGTACTTGATTCCTCAAAAAATTGACCCTGAATAGTAATTCCCAGGCATTTAATCTATCTGCAGTTTCCATGAGATTCGCCACTGAATAACTCAGAATACTGGTAAGGTTATTCCAGTTTAATCTGATTTCCATCGGGGCTCCCACCCACCTTCATGGGAGCATTCAACTCTTACTCCCATCTGCAACATCAATCCACCTTAAAGAGTGTCTGTGAACACGTACAACAAAATTCTTAATGGTCATTTTGAGCACAAATGCATGCATAGAAATGCTCCCCAACTAATGCTGAAACACAACTGCTGTCTGACAGCTATGCAGCAACACTAAATAGTCATTCATCTACTTAGCCGAGAGCAAAAACTGAAGCAGTGGGAACGTACAACATTTGAATCAGCATTTGTTAGCAAAATGTTTCCCTTGTGATGTACAGAAATCCTACTGACTGCAAATATTCTTGACTTTGATCATACTTAAAGCTGCTAAGTTCAGCCAAAAGTGATTCACCACACCGTGACTGGGCTGGGGATTTTGTTAACAGTGGCAGTGAGCTGTCCCTGTGTGAACGACCACTCCTGCTGCCAGTACCTGTGTAGTTCCGTGGAAGTTTCCTCTCATAACCACCAGGTTTCTTCTCTGAAAGCTTGTCATGTGTACAACAGGAAGCTCCAGTCCTGCAAAACATATATATTCCGATGAGATTGCAGTCTGAGATGCTGCGAGTCATGGCACTCATTTGTCACATACAGTTTCTATTCTGCCTAAATGAATCTCCTTCCCTTTAGACTCAGCCCCCAGTGAAAACACTTTGCTTGGGGTCTGCATTTGTTCTTTCCTCTAATTCTTTCATATTCCTTGAGATGTGAGGGCTGACAATCCAGTGGAATAGAATCTAATTTCGCAGGGTTCCTATTGATTACAGCAGGGTCATTTGACATAAGATGCAGTACCTGTATATATTACAGTTGGCATTTCAGCAGTTTGCCCGTGTTGGCAAACAATTCTGTTTTGGAATTTGCACATTAAAACAGAAGACCTAGGTGAGACCGGAGTGCATTTAAGTTTTTGGGTATGCTTAAACAATCAAAACAATATATAGGAGATTTTTGTGAATTATCATTAATAACACAAAGCTATATTTTTAATAGTATTTGAAGTTCAGTTTTTAGTTAGGTTTGGGCTTTATGTTATGCCTTTCCTTAGTAAAAAGAAAGAACAGCCTCTATATTTCCCAGTGGTGCTCATTTCTGATGCAGACTTGCTGTCAAACTGACACCATGCTGCAGAAATACATACAAACAGAAAGCCTTCACATACCAGAAAATTAACAATTTAACAAGCAGAATGTATAATTCATACACCCTAAAAAGACAGTAGGCTCCAAAAACTAAAAATACCTTGCCAGCTTGAGGGTTTTTTTTTTTTAATTTTAAGACATTTAAGAACATCATATTGAAATATAATTCTTACATATCGCCAGATTGTCTGAAGTCAATCTGACCATTTAACTGCTTTCTGGTTGGAAAAAAAATAAAATAAAATAAAAAAGATGTGAAGCCATTTTAATGATCTATTTTCTTTTTATGAAAATCTACACAGAATTAACTGCCATTATAAAATTACATATCAGACTGCTTAAAATTTAGTTCTATGCATATACAGAAGTTATCAGTGTTGAAAAGTCTGAAGTTCTAAATAGCTGAGTTTTCATAGTACCCAGTTGTTCCACACTAAACGTGCTGCACCTCTCTACTAGGAAGAAGCAGATGAATTCTTTCAATTCTCTTTGTAATTCAGATCCAAATCCTCCTGAAGCCACTGGAAAGATTTCTATTAAGACAGCTTACTTCATTGTAGACTGCTTGTCTCACTGAGGTGAGTTCTTCATGTTGTTATTTCAGGACTTCCAATCTCAACACTACAATCTGTAAAGCCCTTTCTCCTCTTGAAACTGAGGTTGTATATTAAGAAGAGAGCTATTGGACAGCAACAGATGCTTGTTACTGGTCCATGGCAATATTTCAAACTGTATACATTCTAAGCATATACTTTAAGTAAGTGTTGAGGTAAGAAATCATACCGAGGGTAAAAAACGTCCTCAGGTGACATCAAGAATGAAGGAGATTTGCTTTTGACAGGCAAAAGGCTAACTGTCGTTCTTGCCCTTGCAGGTGTGCTCTCACAAGGCTGGGAAAGTCTTTATTTTTGGGGGGTTTCCATGGTAACGTTGGCAGTCCTAAATGGAAACAAAAATATTTAAAAGGATATGTTAAAAGAAAGTGGGATTCAAACATGACTGAGGTTTGTGTTCTTCTAAGGGTAGAAAGCAGAAATACTGTTGTACATGGATTTTAAAATTCCATCTAAATTAAATCCAAAGAGAAATTCAGGCACATTTTTACAAACTGTTGTGGGTTTGGCATCATAAAAAACACTTTACCAAAGGCCTTCCAAGGGTCGGCAAGCACAGACTGACTCTTTTCATGCTTTGTTTTCTGAAATAGGTGGCTGTTTTCTACAACTTGAATTTCCATACAATCAAAATGATCTCTGCAGTAAAAACGGCTGCTGCCAAAAATACAGAACACAAAACTCTATGCACGTTTCATATATTTTAGCAGTAGCCTTTAAATGTTTTGAAGGCTTAAAAATGGAACTTATGCCACCATCTTGAAAAGAAGCCTGCAATGCTGAAAAGATAATTATTTCTTGATTTCTTTGTTCTTCTTTAATTTTTGGTCCTGAAAATCAAATCCTGTAAGAAACTGCAGCTATGTCGCCTCAGGGTGGAGAGCCCCAGTGTGTCCTCCATTGCCTTCAGAAAAGGAGGGCACTGGCCCTGCAATGCAGTGTCTGCCATCACAAGTCTTCAAGAATCATCACAGAACGGCTTGGCTTGGAAGAGGCCTTAAAGGTCACCCAGCTCCAGCCCCCTGCCACAGGCTGGTTGTCCCCACTAATCAGGCTGCCCAGGGCCCCATCCAACCTGGCCTTGAACACCTCCAGGGATGGAGAACCCACAGCTCCTTGGGCAGCTGTGCCACCAGGCCTGGACACAGATGGGGCCTCATGAGAGCAGATTAGGTGGGGACAATCCCCTCCCTGCCCCACTGCTACCTCCCTTTTAAGAGAAAGATTTCTGGAAGTCTCTGATGCTGTAACCAAGTACCAGGCACCAGCCAGTTTTGTTTTGAGCCCTCAAGAGCAAGAGAGTGCCAAAATGACTCAGACAATGATGCAGATGTGAGGGAAGCCCTGACACTACCTCACCACACTGGTAATAGTGGGACAGATCCCAGTGACCTCAGGAAATAACAGGGGGAAGCCACCTCTTTTCTATTGCTGCAGCAGGCTGAGAAGAAGGCCTGGAGAGGAAAATGTCACCTGTGCCCTCTTCCTTTGCTTGCTTTTGCTTCCAATGGAAGACAGCAGACAGATGGCTCAGTGCTGAGGTGGACTGGGGACCTGGTGGCAGTGCTATTTATACACCGGGGTTGGAAAACAGCACTTGAAAGAGCCTCTGTTACAAGGTCCTGCTTGAAAATAATCCCGGAACTATGAAAACTTCCAAAAATTGCTTTCCTCAGTATAGAAGCCGGATATATATTTGTTGAATCAGGCTCTTAATTAGGTTGGATACAAAGGGCTTTTCCCCCCACAATACTTCCTGGTCAGTAGCAGTGCCCCCTGCTTTCCGCTCACCCTGATGTGACGTTCTGTGGGTATTATTTACTTTCACAAACACACCGTAGCAATCAATAACTGAACCCCTTTCTTACCCCCCTTCCCCCTTTTAATTTATTAATTATATTTTTCAGGCCACATTTCTTCCCACTTACTTGGGCTGCTCTTTTCATTAAAACAAGTTCTCCAGCTGCCCCCAAATGTTTGCCCTTCCTGTCCATTCTTGGGCATGCCAAAACTGTTAGTGCACAACAGGAAACTAATAGCTTGTGCTATCGGGAGACATTTCCTTCACAGCACAAAACGTCTGAATAATAATTTCAAGCAAGGCTTCACCCATTTCCTGTAAAAGGAGGGAAGTTTGCCTATCCTAGTCCCTCAGAGCTCTTTGTTTCCATCCCTTCATGACGTAATGCTTTCTGCACAGGGAAGATGGATCGTTTTCCCTTAGCAGCACTGAATTCAATATCCTGTGTAAAGATCTGATACCAGTATTCAGCAATGAAACATGCAACGCATACAAATAATAAAAAAGATCTGCTATAGTTTATACTTGCGATGTCTCTTTTAAAAAATAAATCAACTTTTTGGTGTCTGGAAAATAGCTGAAATGAGAACATGAATGCTAAAGACAGCGTGTTTAATTAAAAGTTTTAGTGCAGTATTAGCAATGCAGGAGTCAACTACTGCATGTCCTGCAGCAGATCTAACAGCCCACCTGCATCAGCTCTTGCTGAGCACCAAAATGCCCCAGTCTGAACTGTCCACTATAAGGCTCTGGATTTTACAGAAGCATTGTGAGTAAACTGTCTCAGGCACTGAGTCAGTACATCAATTAAGCACATGCTTAACTTCATTGTTGGAGTTGTGAGGGACACTTAAAGGCCATGTAGTCCAACTGCACTGCACTGAACAGGGACACCTACAGCTGATCAGGTGCTCAGAGCCCCATTCAGCCTGACCTCAGGTGTTTGGTGCCTATATGGCAAATAAAATAAAATAAAACATCACTTAAATAAGTGCTGAAGAGCGACTAACTTTGTTAAGTATTATGCTACAACAAAGCCTTAATGTAATGGCAATGCTTTTGGAATTGTTAAAAAAGGAAATGTCAAGCAATGTGCATGCTAATACTCCATGGCTGAAACAATTAGAGATGTTTAGGATGCATAATTTTAGGAAAACTGTCTTAAAGTGCCCTTTATCCAAACAAAATAGACATAGAAATTTCTACATATGAAATGCTGTTTCCACTGAATCCTACTAAGATGCTATCTATTTTTGTTCAACGATGCAACTTGGAATCAAGTTATGCAGATTATTTAATTTTCAACAGATCTTTTTTTTTCAACAAGCTTAATAAACCTTGTGGATATGACTTTTTTATCACCTGCTGCACCAATCCAGAGAACTTAAAAGGAAAATTTGTCAAAGAGCTTAAGTACCTTAAAAACTGCTATTGTCACAATTGTTATTGTAATGCAGTCTTAATTACATTATTTGTCCTCACAGAAACATAATAAATGTCTCCCTCCATTATTCCGAAGACAATAAAACTTTCATTACATTTGTGTTTTCTGTGTGTTTGTCATCTGAAATGTTCAACCCAAATACGAAGTATTGCATCTCTCTCACTCTAATTTCCTTGCTTCAATCAAGAGGCTGAGAATTTATCGTTTTCTTCCCTCCAACACGCATCTCATGCACTCCCCAGTGTCTGCCTCAACAGCTGGGAAGCCACAGGTAGAAGGCACCTTCCTTCACACAGGCTCCAGACAGATCTGTATGAGCTAAATAAACCATTCCAGCAGTTTTCTGCTAGGAATCTCCCGTAAGAGCAGCGGCTTTGAGTTTGAAAGGCAGGAAGGTGTTTCCTCGCTGCAGGCAAGCAGGACATTTGCATTTCATGGCTTCCAGAGCAATTTGTCACTTTGAGACCAAAGCAACAGGGAGTCTGTGCACGGGGAAGTTTTCATCCACTCATACAACCTTCAGTCATCACTTTCCCCCTGAATGGCTGTAAGATGTGGGACATCACCACTCTCTCTATTTGTTTCACAGGCCCTGGATGGGTTTTGATCCACTTCACTTGAGGCTGAGGGCAATGTTTCCCCCTCTGTGTCTTTGACAGATCATAAAACTGCTTTCTAAAGTAAAACAAACAAACAAACACACAAACAAAAAAACCAACAAAAGAAAACAAACCTGCAAAATATAATTCCTTTTCTTTTTCTAATTTTATGACCTTAAATTGGTCCATCTTGTTGAAAACCTTCTTTGAAGGTGACTCTCCAAAGCTATTATTGCCATTTGGCTGTGACTAGGTTACATTGAATGAACAAGATCCCAGTGTCAATAGTTCATTCAATGGTTGGTAAGGTGAATCAGTTCCAGCCATCTATCCACAAAGCAGAATACCAGGCGAACCAGGGTGCTCTGAGGATAGCAGTGCAAACATTTGATGCCCAAAGAAACCAGCTCCGAGGAGGGTGAACACGCTGAATACATCTACTTGTGCCTAATGGTAGGAAAAGCTAACAGTAGTATTACCCTTTTGGCTGCTTCCAGCGTGTAAACCAACATTTGCAAAGTGCTCTGGAAAGGTCTGTATGTAACACTGTGGACTGACAAGAATTGACATCTAAGTCCTCTTCTTCCCATTATTAACCTTTAATACTGTATATACTTCAGCAAACTTCACTAAAAATCCCATGACAATAAGATTTTGTGCTGTGGAATGGATTACAGAACTCGGTCCATCTGTCAAAACACACAAATAAATGACATTTAGGCCCAACTCTCTTCCTGTTCAACAGAGGCTCAGAAAAATTAGGAGACCCGATGGAGGTCAGACTGGAATCAGTGAGAAAGAGGAGGCCGACATAGCAGTCTAATAGCCATTACAGGGGCTGTAACTGCGTGCTAGCTCCTGTGATAGAACACACAGTGCCAAGTACAGATGGCATATGCTTCCTCTACTATGCATATCCAGATTGGCAGAGAAGGTCGAGTGTCCTCTGCAGCAGCACTGATGACATGGCTGGTGGGGAAGGGGGGCATGTGATTCAGACACTGCCCTAGCAGAACAATGTCAGTAGTCAGGAGCGATCAAGATGTCCCCACTAAGCTCACTGAGCACAGCTAACAGCTGGCATTTTTAACACTGGAATTTTCAGGCAAGTCAGATCATTATTTTTTATCAGAATCATGATATAAACAGCATATCATATATAAATCCTGCCTTAGAGTCCTGCTAGGCAACAAAGCGGCCTCAGAAACGAGATACCTGTCTAATCTATGTCCCTTAGGTAGGTTAAATCCCTCTAACACCTTTCACGCCAGCATTTATTCTGTATGGTGCTCAGGCTCTCATCATGTTTGACATTTTATCTCCGTTATTGAATTGTCTTTTCCTTGTTTTGCTCATTCACAGTGTATACTGGCCAGCCTACAAAAATGTAATTTGAGTGTTTTAAATGAGACTGATATATTTTGACTGTGTCCTTGCTGACATAAAGGACTGTAATGCAGCCAGCTGTTCATTGTTACTATATTAAATAAAGCAAAATTCCCTTGTGATATACTATATACTAACAAATGATGTAATGAAGCACTGGCCATGTGAAAATTCTGTCATGATACCACCCAGCATCCCCATGAGCAGCCAAGAGGCCAAATCACTTGTCTGAGAAGCCCCGTTAACACGTCACCCTTACAACCCAGAGCTGTAATTGCTTTAACCTGACACGCTGCTCATTTTCTGTCCTGCATGCTCCAGTACGCGTCCACATTTCTTTCCTCTCTGCTGGAGAAAAGGCATACAAAACAAAGCCAATTTAACACATTTCTCTGCCTTCTTTCCCCCACATGCACCAGGGTGGCAAAAGGTACAATGCAATGGATGGGGAGAACTGGGAGCAGTGTACGGCCTACGAGACCCCAGTACATCTGGGAAGCAGGATAGGAGGTAAGAGCAGGCACTGCTTTTACTAAGGGAACTTTCGGGCAAGAGAAACCAAATCAAAAATAGCAAACCAAGTTTAAACCTTCAGAATGCACTGATAGCACCCAGGAAAACTCAGATGTGTGGGATGCCTTCTAGCCAGTCACATGCTGCATGGGGACATGGTGATGGAATCATGTCACCAATATAAGCAACTGGCTGTGGAAATTGTGCACTGCAATACAGCTCTAGCTGAATTTGTGGAAGGTTTACATAAAAATTGGCCTTTTGTGAGTTTACACTTACATCAAATTTGAAACATTTATCTCCTGCCCTTTTCAGAGCCCATACAAGGTAGTAGTTAGCAGAAGGTTCATGCTGTCTGGGTATGGTGGAGAACAGGACTGAGGGCACTGCAGTGACACAGCTGTCTGTGCTATGTGCTGAGATAACTTGCTTGGAGCCAGAACAGGTATCTCCACTAAGCAGTGCAGGCATACCCCAAGCACTGAGATGAGCAGAAACTGTGATTTCACAAACACCAGTCCCGTACACAGGAGTTGTGTGCTTAAAGATTTAAGACAAGGAATGAACTCCAGCCCTGCTCTGCAGCAGTTTTGTCTAGGTGCTACGTGTTCTCTCCTAGAGGGTTCATTGCAAAAACATCAGTGGCCTTTCACTAGCAAGGAAGGGGAGGAGGAAGAGCACCATATGGCATATCCCCAGTGGGTGCATACCACAAGCCTTTCCCATGTTTACAGTTCTTGGCCATGGTCTGAGCCCAACGTCAGGCTAACCTTGAACCTTGCAAACTAAATACAATCCTGAGAGTGCAGCTGGAACAGGTGGGAGAGCCAGATAAAGAGCTCAGTTTCCAGAAACAAAAGAAAAAGTATTCCCCCCCAAATCCGTGCTGTTAGATGCTGCTCTGACAACATTTCATTCTGGAAATGGCAGTGGAGTATTTTCACCACCACGCATTGTGAAGCTGAATGCAAATGTCCTACAATTTTGTTGCCCAAATAGCGTGCTAGGAGTCCCACACCTTAAGGACACAGACTGCTGACTCACCTGCCCTTGCTTCCAGCCATAGGGAACTGTGCTGCAGAAAAGCCATTATACAGAACTGCTCCTGCTCCATAGTCTGCCTGGAGATGATAAATACACGTTCCCCTCCTGCACCCAGGGTGGTGTCTGCTGCCAGCTGTGCTGAAGCTGCCCAGCTTCCACATGAGCCCCATGGTGGAGCTGCTGACCCAATTGCAGCACCTGGGGAACACTGTTAAAATTCCTACGGGCAGGTGTGACTGTGGAGCTGCAGTCTGTGATCCAGGATCTAAGCCTTCATGGAGCACTTTTATTTCTGCAAGATAATTAGTGGTGTAAATGAATTGGCAAGAACCATTTTTGCATGAAAGTCCAATAAAAAAACCCATTCTTAATTGTTCTCATGGCCTCTGAGGCTGTCTAATCATGAAATACGTGTTCTGTGTAACCTCTGTTTTTTAATTCCCTTAATTTTTGAACAAACAGAACTCCCCTCCCCGTTCCCTCTGGAAGACAGATAATATGTTATGAAGCATTTTGGCAGAAGACACCGCTTATTGTATTTATTGGCGACATAATAATACATTAAAGTAAAAGGGGAAAAATTAAAGCTGTTAGAAAGAGGTCAAATTCCAGCCATTTCTCGGGAGTAAGGTTCAGTTTTGAAGTCATTTTTCAAAAGAGGTTTTGCATTTACAAAATCTAATGAGGTTAATTTGAGACTGAATGAGCTAATCATCAGCTTGGTATTCTGGACACCACAGATTTATCACTTCCCTCAGTGTGATAATATCATTTGTCATCTTTCTTCTGCTACCCCATCAGCAGAATCATTTCTACTTCAGACAGATGCTCTGAGTTCCACGCTCCTGAAAGCTTGTGCTGTCCCATTGTCTTAACTCTGGAGAAACCATTTTTGGGAGGATTGCTGCCTTGATGTGAGCAGTTCTGGGTCTCAGCTGTTAGTGCAGGAGCACTGAGTGACCTGCTGCTGCTCGTGGCCATGGGACTTTATTGTTCTGTTCTCTGATATCACTTATAGAATAATTCCCAGGAGATGCTGTGTTTCCAAAATTTGCAGGTTTCACACTGTGACTTTGGATACACATAAATTCTACAAGGTAGGAAAGGGGAAAATAATGGCTTGCCTTCCACCTCTTTGTCACAGAGCTGAATCGCATTGCTGTGTAAGAGCTGCTTACTGCCATACTTGCAGGACGCTCATGGTTTCCTCTCATTTCCTGCTGTGCACCTCCCAAGCTTCTCTCCTGCCCTGCACAGCCAAAGCCCATCATCAGAGCTTCCACGGAGTGAGAGCTGAGAGGGGCCGCAGCCCCATCACAGATGTTTATTATTTGATTAATTAACTCTAGCTTGGCGTTAATCACTTGCACATTCAGACAGTGGAATCATACAGGAAGAGAACAATATAAAGGAAAATACCCAGAGTGATGATTTCCATTTCAATGGGAGGGAAAAAAAAGAGGGAAAATCTCAATCTGAAACCAGCATGCTTTGTCCATGACTCAAACCTGCCAATATTGCTGGTTTCCATCTTGCCACTGAAAGCCAACACGTACACAGTCATTAATCATGGTGAAGACCCAGCCTGAGCAGTCCTCCTGCCCTCAGTGTGTGTTCCTTATCATGAGGCTCCACCATGACACAGTTTTCCCCTTTCCCTATTCCTGTTTCTGCTGACTTCACAGAGCACTCATGAACCAGCCAGCATCCCCTTCTTCCCACCCCTTTTCAGATGCACCTACAGAAAGATCTGGTTTGTTCTTGGATATTTTGTTGTCTGGACCACATTGTGTTGAGCTACTGCTGCTTAAAACTGTGAGAAAATAGCTAATGTAGTACAATGGCTATCTCCACCCTACACCCTGTGGTTTTCCAAAACCACAAAACATGACAACACTGCAACCAACTTCCCTACTCTTATAGATATAAACGTATATCTATGTTTGCATTACAGTATATTCATAATTAAATGGACAGTGAACAAATCTACTAATTACCAATTTTACACAGAAGATGTTGGTATGCAGCCTTTGGATGCAGCCTGCAGAACTCCAAGAACTTTGAGAGGGAAGCCATCAGAAAAGATCTCCATTACGTGGTTAACTGCACTTATGAAACTCCCTGACCAACTCACTCTGCACATTGGCTTGAAACTACAGCTGCGAGCTGTACAAAGGAAATGACGACAGGATATAAAGGACTAGGGAATATTCAGTATTTACTAAACAAAGATCTTCATTTGAGCGTGTGTCCAGTCATACCACAAGTATTTGACAGAAACAACTCCCCGAGCTTGGACAGGTCACAGAGTCATTGCTGTTATTTTGCTGTGCACATACAAAAAATCACTTTGCATTAATATACTTTCAGTAGCAGATTATTTCTTCCCCCCTTTTAAAATTGCCATTTTAAGCTAGAAAGGCAAGCCTAAAGGTACTGGCAAATATGGGAATAAGACCTGAAAACCTGAAAACTTCATGATCATTCTCAGACACACATTTCACACCTTAATTTTTCAAAGGAACTCTCTTCAGAAGAAACTCTTTCAAGCTCAGGCCAAAACTCAGGTTAGAATCACACCAACTTGCTGAAAGGGATTTTACAACTTCATCTGACTTCTGGGGGAACCAGAGAGTAGTTTGGGTAATCTTTAATATTACCAGATGAGAGCTGTTCCTATAACACAATCTGTTATGTCTTTTTCTTGGGATCTGAAGAAAAGGGCTGTTGTAAAACAGTATTATTTATGAATTGTGTTGCAGTGTTTGCCAGACAGCAACGTGCAAGCGGTACATCTCCAACCAGGCAGCACAGAGATTGGGGCTGCAAGGACAGGCTGCCACCCCTGAGGAGCCTTCAGTCTGAAGAATCAATAGAGGCAAAAGGCCAGAGATGGGTAAAAGTGATTTGATGACTTACCCAGCTTCAGAGCTAGAAGGGAAACTGATATCCCATTCTGCTGGAAAGGGGAGTGGTGGCTCCACACTGACGATGGACTTGTTTCTGTTTGCAGTTTTTCCTGCTCTCATTTTACAAGGGACCTCTGTCATCATTGCATTCTCTGAACTTTCCCATCCTTGATTTTTGCTCAGATGCATCTCTACTTCTTTCTTCAGCTGCTGTTTGGAACAAACTGACAAGCATTTGCTGCTGGATGAGTAAAAAATATTTGCTTGATTCCTACCCACTATGGATTGAAGAGACAAAAGAAAATAGCAGTGAGTCACATTTTACGTACTTTTTCAATACCTCTTAAATGCAACCGGTTCTACTTTCACCTTCACAATTCAACTAATATGGAACTTCAGAACAGATTTATTCTCGTGCAGTAAAGCTCAGTCCCTCTCTAAGACCCCAACGTGCTCCATTTTTGTTTCAGCTCTGTGCTTAACATTCAGCCCAGAGCAGCTGCGAGCTACAAGGACACAGATGAGGAAGTTGTGTTATTTGTGCCTTTCAGGATTGCTAATTTTCTTGAGTTGACAGCCCAAGATTAGGCAAAAATTTGTTGTAGGATAATTTTTTTTTCTTTTTTCAAGTAGTGCCCATGCACATGTAGCAACAGAAATAGCTGCACAGCATCTGGCTAACTGTACAGGGACCCCAATCATTATTTGGATGTTAGCTTTGTATTTTATGATCTCATTTTTCCTCGTAAGTGTGGAAATATCAGAGTTTCACTCAGCCCTACCAGTTTGTTCCAAAGTCAGGGGAAATGAAATACAATATTGAACAACACAACAACATGTCAGGAAAAAATAAATGGAATGGCTTTGTGGTGTCAGCTGGTGAAGAAATGAGATGAAATATTTTTTCCATGTGCTGAATGAGCCCAGACAAAATCTGTCTTGATGCTAGGCTCACTGCAACCTGCTTGTATCATTTTTGGAGACATGAGAAATCTGCTTTATGGCAGGTACTCAACCATGCTGTACACTCTGAAAAATACTCCTTTTTCTCAGAATGAAATTTTTCACAGTTAGATAAGATAGAGTGGAAGATATTTGCTGGAGTCTTCTGGTACAGCCAAGCACATTGGCTGTGACTTTAGTCACTAGAACTCTTCCTTAGACTCTGACTCCTCTTGAATCAGAACTAAATGAATAAACTCCAATAAAAGGAGAATTCAGAAAACGGAGTGCTGGTTCCAGGTGACATCATATGTTGGAGAATGAGTTCTGGGTGATTGTGGGTTACTGGAAGTCTATGCTGGGTGGATCTAAACGTGATTTTTTATTTTTCTTTCAGGCTGAAGATACCTCTAGCTACCACTAAGTTGATTTCAGGTAAATACATATTACTTAAGGCTTAACATTTTGGCTCACAGAAACTTCAGGCCATTACTTTTAATTAAACAAACAAGACCCTTTGAAAACTTTATGGTATTCCAAAGAGAACTCTCATCCATGAGTAAAAAGCTCTTTTTCCCATCTCTGACCTACCTGTATTCCTGTGAATTTCATTCACTACCTTACCACTCTCAAACTGGAAATGTTCTGCAAACATTACTCACGCTAACACCCCTAAAAATGCTTATTCCATGGTTACATTCCAAGCACTGGCAGGACACTTTATTCACTGCAGTAACTGAGAGCACTGCCTGTTCTCACTGTATCTCCCAGGCCACAATCGCGGGTGTCAGATGTGTTTTTGCTAACAAGACTGTGGAACTGGTGAGCAGAGAGATTTCCCACCCTTCCCTTCTCCCAAGCATCCGTCAAACCGCAGTTTCAGAGTGGCCACACCCTGCTTGTTATTGTTAAAGTAAAATATTAAAGGTGGGTTCTTTTTTTTTTATCTTCCTTAGCCTTTCACCTTTATTTAGAGTGCATTCAAGGGACATCTGTGTTACTGGCAATAAGATCACGTGAGGGAGCTTTCTATAAATAACACCACTATTAAATAAAGTGCTGGAGCACGGCATTCACTAGCACAATGAGTTCAGTGCTGTAGTATGTATTCTTGCCAGAGCTGACTCTCAGTGAAGCATCCTTTTATTTTCATTTTGGAACAGAACTTTTAATGCGCAGATGAAACTGAAAGGTGAGATTCCGAAGATGCACTGCCAAATCTGCCAAATTTCCTAGGCGACACTGGCAGGATGGCCAACATCCAGCAGTGGTCAGTAACACCTGACTAGTTCAAGAAGTGTTATGATGGTTAAAACATTCATGTGAATGAAGTACATTAAGTTTCTCTGACTGAATGAGTCATTACAATACTGAGATTATTTCAATTTAAGATGTTTGGCATGTGAAGGAGTAAGGTAAATACTAGATCATGTTCTTCTGTTTTCACAACTGAAGAAATGTGAACTCCATAAAACGGAGT